CAATTTATTTTTCCTCTCATATTGATATTTAAATAATTTAAATCTAAATTCTGAACATTTTCTAAATTTTCATTGTATATCAGTTTTCCCTTAACAGTTTTTGCAAGCAAAGTAATTTAAGTAAAAAAGAGGAACATTTCTGAAATCAGAAGACAGAAATTTGCTTCATGTAGTCATCCTTTAACAGTAAAAGCTTAACTAACCCTCATACTTGGAAATTGGCGAATATTCGGACAGTTGAGTGTAACTTGAAAAAGAGGAACGGGGGGAAGGGGGTAGACTGTAGCCGCTCTTTAGATTTTTCCGCTAAAGAAATGCTTTTGACATTTCGATATGTAAAAAAAGGAGCGGGGGAGGGGGTAGACTGTAGCTGCTCTTTAGATTTTTCCGCTAAATAAATGCTTTTGACATTTCAATATGTGCATCATATAAAAATAAACCAATGGAACTGCTTAGCAAGCACAGTAAAACTCTTAAGTGTTCATAAACAAATCTCGGACAGAACATCAAAATTAATTATCTCTTCAAAATATCGCAAATGTTATTGCACAATACATGTACCATGATTCTTCCCTACATGATATTACGCAATCAGAATGAACAGCTGCCTGTATTGGGAGAATAAAGAACTAAATAACTGGGGTGTTTTTCATTCTAATTTTCAACAGATGGCGTTAAATTTCCGGAATAGAATCATTCTTTACTTGGGTTGGTAGACCGCAGAACTTTTAGTCCTATTCAATCCATATTGGGGAAAAAAAAAAAAAAAAAAAAAGACGTCTGTTGCTTGTTTTGCAGCGAACTGTAACAGTTTCAATATTCAAGATTTTGCGGAGAAAGGTGACAACCTCCCAATCTTCGTACTGTATAATGTATTGGCCAAAATAATTTCATTATTTTGACAATTCAATTGCTTTCGCTTTATTTAAGCCATTCCGAATATTATTCCTTAGAAAGCTAATCTGTGTTAAAACACAACCATTTTTGGAAGTTTACTATACTTCAGCAGTTACTGCAACTATGTTATTATAAACATTCATACATATGCTCATAATATAAGCATAAAGATCATAGTAAACACGAATATGAACTGACCAAGCAGAATGAGAATGCAAATTTTTAAGATCTTGATAGAAATTCAAACGTGTGTAGTATTTGGGTGGGAGGAAAAAGAATGCCGAATGTAGCGGAATATTCTACTGCTTTCACAATTCTTTGACCAATAGAACGACGGGCACCTGTCTGTACTCTTCATGCACACCAAAGGTTATGTTAATGTAGAGATATGGGGAAAAGCTATTTCCGGGAGTATGACTCACCATCTGACATTCCATATTAGGAAGAAAAGTTGTTTATTTAGTTTCGGCTTTGGTACGGGGAAAAATAGCGCGTTCATTAAAAAAAAAAAAAGTACTAAAAACTAAAAAATAAGGGCTTTAAAGGAAAAGTAAGGAATTATAAGCACTTATAAAGACCACTATGAAGCCTGTTTACAGTTAGAAAGTTAACAGAAATGATGACTAGGTCATAATGGAATATTTCCTAATTCTACTAATAATCCAATAATAATTTAATTTTCCATTAATAATTAAAATTATAACTTTCATTTAAGTTTAAAAGGCATTTAAATAGCTATTTTCAAAAATAAAATAACTGAGCCAAAGACAAACCACAAAAGGTAGTATGAATGAAGAAAGAAAAGAAGTTCAAAGAATAAAGAATGAAACAATGTATTTTACACAGTTGTTGGGCAATTCAACTCGAACACCTGTACCTGAAGTGTAAGACTTGATTAATGTAGATCGTCTTTGGATGGCAAAATTACAGTATTTTTTCTTCAAAATGTAATTACTATTCAATCATTAAAAGAACTTTTAACCATTCCCCTTCTAAAGTCAGTTCTATTTTACTTTATAACTGTGACATGGGAAAATGTTTCCAAACTTTGTTCTCTACCATACTCCAAACAGGCTCAATGGTTTTGAGACCATGTTATCATGCAAGATATGAAAGATATTCAAGTTCACCTTTATGCTCTTGAAACAACTCTTTCAACAGTTTTGTGCTAATATTCCATAAGTGGGGTAAGTTGGCGCCAAACTATTTTGGCAGATTTTTTTGGCGGCAATGAAAGCACCAAGATGTGATTTTTAAACGTAAACAGAATAGTAATTTTTAAGTGAAACATGGTTCTTTTATGTCAACAGAATAGTAAAATGAGATGATAAAATATTAGATGAGTAAAACAAAGACCAACAGCTTTGCGAGTAAAAACATAGTCCTATCTATGTAATTCATCATAAAATAGTAGAATGAATAATTCTTTTAAATAATTATTGAGTAGATAATATATTATACACTTATCAGGTCAGAGCACTGCAAAGTGAGTTTTAAATGTAAACAAAATAAATTTTTGTTTACAGTAGTGAACAGCGATTATGTGCAAACAGAATAGTAAATGAAACTGATTAAATGATAAAACAAGTGAAATTCAACACACTAAACAACTTTCGATTATGTGCAAACAGAATAGTAAATGAAACTGATTAAATGATAAAACAAGTGAAATTCAACACACTAAACAACTTTCGTTCAAAGCTTTAAATATTCCACATCATTCAATTGCCACATGCAAGAAACAAAACTAAAAAAAAAAAAAAAATTAATTAATAAAATTAAATGAAAACATTCATAAATTATAAACTTCATGTCATCCGACATCAAACGTTCTCCCATCAACATCCCCTTAACCTTCTGCAAATATTTATATAAATATAATATTAAACATATATATAATAATAATGTTAAACAGTATAACTTTTAAAAAGCAAACACAATATTTCAAAATTAAATTAAAAAAAAATCTTCTGGCTTCACTAAATTCACACTCTTGCAATAACCGAAAAAAAGCTCTAGGTTTGCCACAATAAAACATACAGCCGGAAACCACAAACAAATCAAAAAATCGCGCCAAATAAAAATACTCTCACCAAGTTTGCCACTCGTCCCGATTACGGGATATTAACTCAGTTTTGCAGTGTGAACTAGATCATCCTGATAGACAGCACATCCATTGAGGTATAAAATTTGAACAAGATGGGCAAAATCCATATTTGAAAGTAATGTGACTTTTCAGAGAATTAATCAATCCTCTCAAAGAGACAATACTGAGGGCCAAAATCATCATCAGATATCACTTCTGTGCTCCACTTTGGGCTTCAGACTGCCCAGATAAGGGATTATTAACATTTTTCTCTAGCATGTAGTTATACAAACTAATCATAACACAGATAATTTAAAGATAACAATTAAACTATGATTATGAACAAAAGTTTTTTTTAAAAAAATAGTTTACTTGTATTCATTTATTATTTTTGGATTATTATTGTTTGTAATTTTACAAATATAATGAAATTTTCAGAAACAAAAATCACAGAATTTTATTGAACAAAAGTTTGATTTTAATATGGCTATGCTTGATATAAATAATTTTTTTTTAAACCTTGCCAAAAAAATTGCTTAACTTAAATTTTAAATCCCTTTGTTCAAAATATTCAATCTCCTTGTTTCCCATACTAAATTATTAACTTGACTAAAGCCTGCTTACACTAGGCGAAATGAGAGAAATGTCAATATGTAGATTTAATAACAACTTTAATTTGGGGAGATTTCTCTTGGTTGACTTCTAACTTGGTGTTAATTAAAAAAAATTAGCACACTCATGTTTCGTGAATCAGCTACACAGACGAGCCAAAGCATTACGACCATATGCACATTTTTCAATGAACTCATTTGGATCATGTGCAGGGCACATGATTAAGTGGGAATGGTATTTAACTGCTGTTGGAGAAGGTAAGGAATCATTCTTGCACTTACTTTTGTGAGTGACAGGAAAGGCTGCTGATCTAAGCGAATTTGATAGAGGATAGATTATAATGACTCAAAGACTCAAATAAATGAAAATTTTCAAAACCAGACAAATGGTAGGTTTTTCACGATCTGCCATTGTCAGTATTTATGCAAAGTGTATAAATGATGGTGAAACCAGCAGTAGACGACAAGATGCCATTAAAGAAAAAGACATCAGAGACTATCCCACTTAGTACATCAAAATTAGCAACAGACAGTGGCTCTGCTGAGAGACCAATGCAAGCCTAAGCGTTTCAGAATACACAGTTCAGTGGACATTGTTGAATATGGGACTGTGCAGCAGATGTCCCACTCATGTGCCTATGTTGATTAAGCGTCATTGTCAACTATGCCTACGGCGGGCCTGGGAACCCAAAGACTAGACAACACATAAGTGGAAGACAGTTGCCATGGATACGTAGAAGACAGTTGCTCGAATCATGATTTTTCATTCATCACATCAATGGTTGTGTCAGTGCATGTTGACTTCCTGGTGAACAGTAGCTCCCTCCTTGTACAGAGGTGGTCATACACAGACTAGTTATGGCAGTCTAATGCTACGGGCAACGTTCTCATGGGCATGTTTGGGACCATCAGTTGTGGTAGAAGAGACCATGGAAGCTGTGTACTATCTGAACAAAACTGCAGATCAGTTGCACCCTTACCTTACACGATGTCCGTCTTTCCAACTGGAAACTAAATGTTCCAGCAGGACAAAGCCCCATGTTACAAGACTCATATTGTGTAAGGAGTGGTTCGAGGAGCATATGGATGCATTCCAATTAATGTCCTGGTCATTTAACTCGCCAAATCTTAACCCGATAGAGCACACTAGGATATCATTTGGCTCTTCAGAGGTCAAACCCACCATTTCGGAATATCTTGACTTTGCATGACCATTACGTTGACATTTTACTTTTTTGTGTTTGGCACTCATTGCATAAAAAATATCACTGATTTTTAAAATATATTAATTAATTTCTATATTCCCCTTATTTTATAGGATTTCTTCTTTATAGGGAAAAAAAGCTTTTTTTTATTTCTACCTCCAGGAAGTTTAGATTAATTAAAATATAACAAAATGTCAGTACTTCAGAAAGAGCAGTTGTTTTCTCTGACAATTTCAAGGCCAGACTCAAATTTTCACATTTCAACTCAAGTGCTGATTTTTCCTTCTAGAATGAAGCAGAAAAGTATAAAAATTAAAAACAGCCTATATATATATATATATTTAAATATAAAATACAAGATTCAGTGAAAGAATTATTATTTAAAAATAGGATCACATATATGTTAAGATAACTGTTATGCATATTATAAAATTTACGTTAAAGTTACTACATAACTTTCAACTACATCAATTAATTCCTTATTACATGCTTTTAAAGATTCCCAAAATGAAGAGCTCGGTTTCACACTTGCATGCTGCACAATTGAAATTTTCTCAATATATTTCCATTTTAGCAAATCAACGCAAAATTAATCAATTAGGTATCAATTTCTTCGATTTACAGGAATAAATCACACGTTTCTCCTGAAACACACTCCTGTTACATAAACCAATAATAATTCTTCACTTCTGGATAAAGGGTTTCAATATCCATAACATTAATGCGAGCTTTTAACTCCTTATTAAATAGTTTAGTCTTTAAATAATTAAGTGTCATTAATTTAATTATTCTGCCACAAGCATTCTCTGAATGCTCAAATAAACAACAAAATTCTTTCTTATTTTATTTATTTATTATTTATGATTATTATTATTATTATATTATTATTATTTTTTTCAAATCCTTGTTCTACTTTGAATTATTGTTTTAATTTTGCTTGATCATTTATGTTGGTAACCTCCAAATTTAAGCTCAATGCAAGATATCTCCTAAAAAAAGCTTCACTTACTAACACATCTTTAAAATTCAAACAAGTTTTTAGATGATCAAAAGTATTGCTCAATGTTTAATTTAAGCAAGTAATTTTGAAATGTTTTCTGATAACAAAGATGATTCTCATTAAGAATATCTTTATAAACATTTCTTAAAACAGAGCTTATTATATTTGGTTACTCAATAGGAATTTTACCAAACAATTTATAAATACTATTCAGACAAAATTTGTAAGAAATGTTTCAAAAACTAACTTTCTTACAAAGGCATTTAAAATAAACTTTAGAACAAGAAAATAATGCCTATTGGTTTCCAAACACATTTGCTAAATATCAGCAATAGTTAGAAAACTAAATTAAAACTACACACTGAAGTATTGATATTATACCAGCATCTGTAAATGAAAAATAAACTTTCATCAATGTATGCATTATAAGCTTAATTGATGAACATATGAAGAAAGACTATGCACAAAAGATATGTTGATAATCATATCCCTTATTTCAATATAAAATGATAATTTTATTTAAAAAAAGAGAAATTACGTTTTTTTCACAATATGACTTCACATCAAGGCTTAACGAAGGTTCTTCTCCAGAAATAATGTTTGATGATTCAGTATTAGTCTGGATAGCTTCACGGTACACCTTAAATGAAATAGCTATCAATTATGCATAATTCAATGAAGAAATTTTCAGATAACTTGAAAATTAAATCATTATATAATCAAGTATTAAACCTTATCTCAAGCTATTTCAAATTATCTATGAAAGAGTTAAATGTTTGAAATGAACAATATATTTTATTACCAGATATGTAATTAAAATAGATTAATGACAAAAAAGGAACTGAAAATTTTATATTTTAAATCAGTGATAGTCAGCTTTTGTACCCTTTATAGCTTGTGTGTCAGCTGCATATTATGCTATGCTTAACCAATATTGATATATACATTCTAAAATAACAAATGCTTATTTTCTCAAGATTCATATAATTTCTTCAAATAATCTTAATGTAGAAAATGTACATAAATGTAGTTCTAAAGCTACATCTAAATGAAGCCACATACTGTTAATTCTTCCAACATCCACAACAGCCTGCCCACACAGACAAACTCACTCAAAACATGTTGTCACTGCTTGCATCAACAATACTAACCAGGAAAAAAACAATGAGCATGTTTCTCACGATTTGACCCACCAGAACGCAAAAGCATACAAGAATCGTATGTCCAAACAGCAATGACAAATCCAGTTTCTCGCTTACTGAATAAATGCAATGAATTACTTGGGAGCTTTTTTCTGTTATTTCAACAGATGTAACTTATGGAATAGCATTCATTTTGGATAATAATCATGTAATTATAGTGTGAATAATAATCATAACCAGACTAATACTGAATCATTGTTACATTTTTTGTATTTATTTAGCTATTTTAGAAGAATTTGTAATTAAAATTGTTTTATATTCCCGTGCAATACACCACGAGACTTATTTGAAGAGAAAGCTACATCGGAAAAGTGAAAATACAAGAGCACGCACATTTAATAAATAAATTGTACTTGCTTTTGCTATCGAGAAAAATCGAGAATATTCTCATGCATGATTAAATAGGTTAGAAAAGTTGGAGGAAAAGATCTCAATTCAGTTGTTTACTTACTGCTTGTGATTGATTGCAGCGAATTTGCAGTGAGATCGGATTAGCTTGATCTGGAATAAATTTTTAAGAACATTTTTTTCCCTAGAATTTTTTTTATGAAACAAAAGTTATTTTATTATACTTCTTTTATATTTGAATTATTTAACAACACATAAAAATGTGTATCATGAAGAAGTTAGGATAGATATTCATCTTGCATACTTGCCAACCTATGACACTCAAAAATCAGATTTTTTAAAGAAATCGGGAGATTTTTCACAATGTTAAAAAGACTTTTTAAATGATAAAAATATAATTTTTAATAATGAATTAACTTTAAATAGTTACTAATTAAATGCAAGGAACACAAAAATACTTTACACATAAAAAACATTTTTATTTTTTGCATCATTTTTATTACTTGATTCGTTTAAGAAAACAAAACAAGAAAAGAAAGAAAAAGACACTTTAATCAGTTTTCGTACAAATGTTATGAACAGTGGTAGATTTTGCTTTCGTTCAGAAAGAAATTTCATAATTTTGTTCATAGCAATTACCACTAAGGCCTGCTTTCGCTAATAAAAGTGTTTCTAATGTGTCATCACTAATATTAGATCTAAATTTAGTCCTCGTTTTGCAACAATACCGAAAATCCTCTCACACTCTGCATTACTATGGGAAACTGTCAAGATGGCGAACATAATTCTAGACAGTTCACTATATTTTAAATTTCCATCAGCTCATTTCAGTTTTCCAATTAAACTCCATTAGGTGTCAATCCTAGCTGATTTTATAACTTCATCCAAGTTTTCTAATTGTAAACTGCAAAATTGCGACTGCAATATTATCAATGGCAACATCAATATCATCATCTTTTATGACTAAATGAAGTAACACAGGAAATCTGTTTAAAAAAAAAAGTACCTTATATCAGAAAAAGATGCATTTGCTAGAGCACCAAACATCAGCAACTTTAGCATGTATTGCAAAACATGAATTAATGGAATTCTGCTTTGTAGAACTGTGTTAAAAACATCAAATGATGGCAAAATGAATTGTAAAAAAAGCAAAAAGCTTTGTTAAGGTCTGAAGAAAAAAACATAAATATTCGTTCTTCACAAGATGTTGTCATTGATAATATTGCAGTCGCATTACAGTAATCGGAAAACGTACTCACACAACTCAGGACAAGATGAACGAAATAACTAAAGAAAATCCAAATAACAGCCTTGAGCTTGCTTTGTGCTCATTGGCTAATATATACAAGATGACGGGCAGTGGAGCTCGATGCCCATTGGAGCCTTGGAGAACGACGTTTTTGGATACGTATGCTTTCACTCATAAAGCAGAAATTCTCATCTGATTCAGAAGGTTTTGTTTTAGATATAATCCAGAGAAAATTCAATTGCTTTCAGACGCCCAAAATCACTTTCTTTTTGTTCATATAACGAAGTATTAAGCCAAGTTCCATAAAAATCGTGAGAAATTTTAAGAATAAGAAAAAGTTGGGAGAAATATGCTGTAAATCGGGTTGTCAGTAGAGCAGTCGAAAATCGAAGTCTCCCGCCTAAATCGGGAGAGTTGCCGACTTTGATCTTGTAATGGTTTTGATTATTTTCAGAAATGAAATTATTGTTTTATAAATGCATGCAATGCTTTTAAATTATTAATTAGGATAATTTTAAGATTGAACAGTTTTTTTGTTGTATTTCATATAACGAAGTATTAAGCCAAGTTCCATAAAAATAGTGAGAAATTTTAAGAATAAGAAAAAGTTGGGAGAAATATGCTGTAAATCGGGTTGTCGGTAGAGCAGTCGAAAATCGGGAGAGTTGCCGACTTTGATCTTGTAATGGTTTTGATTATTTTCAGAAATGAAATTATTGTTTTATAAATGCATGCAATGCCTTTAAATTATTAATTAGGATAATTTTAAGATTGAAAAGTTTTTTGTCGTATATACTGTAAGACAAAACACAAGCCTCATTTCTCTTCAGAAATTCTGCTATACTAAACAGTTTTAAATTGATACTAATTTGCTTATTTTAACAAAAATTTAATACTGAGGTAAAACTACTGAATAAAAGCTGTACAAAACTGTAATAAAAAAAATTACGAAAGAATATCGAATAAAAAATGTTATAACAAAAGAAATTATGATAATATTTTATAGAATAAATGTTTTTTCCCAGCTCAAAATTATCATTAACTTTCCTTCTAATTATTTTTTTTTTCATTTTTTTTAAAATCATACTCCTATATGCCTCCATTGAAGCCCCCTTTAGTATTATTATTACTACTACTACTACTACTACCATTACTTACTTTTTAAACTAAATCCTGAATTAATAAAAGTCAGTGTAAATTTTAAAAATCATGTCTACTCTTAGTGTAATGGAAGTTTCTTATTCAACAGAAATTAACTTCATACACTTTAACCCCTAATACTGGTTTAGTAAATCAGAGTAACTTCAGAGTATATCGCCCTCTGTAGGCATGATTTGCTGTTTTATGACAAAACTCTACGGCAAACAAACTACTAAACTGCAGGGACTACAGAGCAACAAATGATCTTTTGTAAATCCCGTTTCACCTTCTGAGCATTATGGACTTATAAAATCCCATAATGAAGGATGGCTTTCTCACTTCTTACACGTGAAAATTTTTGCCTGAACCTAATAAATCTAATTTCGGGGTGGATGTATAGTGGAAGAAAATAAGTCTATATACAAAGGGTCGTTTTAGAATTATAATCAAGAAAATGCAACTTATTCATGACATTTTTGGGAACTTCGAAATTTCAGAGAAAAACCTGTAATGCTGGGAGGATTAAGATGGTTAAAAGTATTAAAATATACAGAAAACTACAAATTTATTCAATAATAAACTTTGTTAAAGTAGCTACAAGTAACAGAAAAAGACCTCATGAACAACATGGCGCTAGCCATTACTGCAGTAAATAAAATAACAGCAAAATAAATGTAAGTTGTAAATAAATATTACAGTTGTAATACATGTTTATTTACAATTTACAATAAATAAGTGTTACAGTTATAAGTAAACAAATAATTACAAATATAAATTGTAAATAAATAAGTAAAACAGTACAAATCTCTTATTATACAGCAAAAAGGGAAAGGCCGAATTCTGGATTTGCAAAAATTCCAGATAGTTGAGCACATAAGAAATGGAATTCATGTAATGAAAGGAAAATTAATGGGTAAAATTTCAGTAAAATTATAAAATCAATAATCTTATTTGTTATCAACTTGTATATCAAATGCCTGCATTTAAGATTAAAATTTTCTGGAGGAGGGAGGTATTTTAAACATATAAAAGTCGAGGTATTTCACAAGCCTCACTAATTGAAATCCTGCTAAATATGAAAATTGGAAATGTTGCCAATCATTTTGGTAGATGTATATATAAACAGTTGTTTTTTATTAAGATAATAAAGAGATATAAATTATGGATATAGCATAAAAAATTAAATTGCCTATCATGATTTGTCATGTTACATTGCCATTGTCTATCTATTTTGAAAATGGCATATCATGGCTTTTTTTATGCCACACAATTTTGAAAATACCCCCATTTAATACAGTACCAAATATTAATCATACTTTTTTAAATGTAAGGGAAAAAATAGAATTTATATTCTTCTTTACAAAAATTAAACCAGCTTATTGAGAATTAATTGACTTTATGTTAAACCAAAATGAACTTTTTACGATTGTGTTGTGACATCATGCTTACTCATTAATGGCTCTAAATAACATTAGCTGGTGACAATCAGGGCTCGTACACTTTTCTGCACATAAAAATTAAGGACTTTTAAGGACAATTAATGAAAAAATTAAGGACCTATGAGCAAATGGGAACTGAACAACTTCAATTTAAAATACTATCTGTGCCTGAACTTTTGTAATACCATCCTAAAATTAAAAGTAGGATACATTACTATTAAACATAACTTAATTAACATAATTATTAATAAGTTATAGAATA